AGTATCTTTGCTGTTCCTAGAACTGCACTCTTCTAGACCAAGATGTCTGATGTATTTCCAGGGATCTGCTGTAACCACTCTTCAATTTTGGGGGTCGCTGCCCCGAGGGCCCCAATGACCGCGGGTACCACTTATGCCTTCACCTTCCAGGTTTTCTCCAGCTCTTCTCTGAGCCCCTGGTATTTCTCTACTTTTTCATGTTCTTTTTTCCTGATGTTGGAGCCACTTGGTATTGCTATGTCAACCACAATGGCTTTCCTCTGCTTTTTGTCCACCATCACAATGTCCGGTTGGTTTGCCATTCGGTCCGTCTGTATCCGGAAGTCCCAAAGGATTTTTGTTTGGTCTTTGGAGGTGTTTTCCACTTTGACCTTTGGGTTTCCAGCCCATTCTCTGCACAGATGTTCCTGTATAGTACTCCAGTCTCTTGGTTATGGCGCTCCATGTAAGCTTTCCATGCCAGCATCTTAAACCCTGCAGTTATGTGCCTCATTGTCTTAGAGGCCTCTTTGCAAAGTCTGCACCTGGGGTCTTGTCTGGTGTGGTAGATCTGGGCCTCTATTGCTCTGGTGCATAGGGCCTGCTCCTGTGCAGCCATGATAAGTGCCTCTGTGCTGTCCTTCAGTCCGGCTTTGTCTAGCCATTGGTAGGATTTCCTGATATCTGCCACTTTGATTATGTTTGTTCCCATGTAGGGGCTTATCCTCCTATGACAGAGTCTCTGGCACCTCATCTTCTGTTCCCCATTGTCTGAGACATTCACTGACCATGTCGTCTGTTGGAGCCTTGTCCTTGATGTACTTATAGGTCTTGGATGTTTCATCCTGGATAGTGTCTCTTACGCCCATTAGTCCTTGGCCTCCTTCCTTACAGCTGGTGTACACTCTCAGGGTGCTGGATTTGGGGTGGAACACTCCGTGCATGGTTAGGGGCTTTCATGTCTTAACATCTGTGGCCTGTACCTCCTCCTTTGGTCAGCTTATTATTCCTGCAGGGTATCTGATTACTGGCAGAGCATAGCTATTTATTGCCTGAGACTTATTCTTGCCATTGAGCTGGCTCCTTAGGACCTGCCTTACTCATTGAAGGTATTTAGCCGTAGCCGTCTACCTGTTACTACCTGTTGCCATTTGCTTGTGGGATTCCAAGGTACTTGTAGCTGTCCTCAATGTCAGCTATTGTTCCTTCTGGGAGTGAGACCCCCTCTGTGTGGACTACCTTCCCTCTCTTAGTTACCATCTGACCACACTTCTCTTGTCCGAATGACATCCCGATGTCTGTGTCGATGATCCAGGTGGTATGGATCAGAGAGTCAGTGTCTCGCTCATTCTTAGCATACAGCTTGATGTCATCTATGTAGAGGAGGTGACCAATGTTGGCCCCGTTCCTGAGTCGGTACCCGTTACCAATCTTGTTGATCATTTGCCTGAGGGGGGTCAGATCTATGCAGAACAGCAGTGGGGACAGCGCATCTCCTTGGTATATGCCACATTTGATCGAGACTTGTGCAAGTATCTTGCCATTGGCCTGAAGGATGGTTTTCCACAACCTCATTGAGTTTGCAATGAAGGTTCTTAGAGTCCTGTTGATGTTATATAGCTCCAAGCATTCAATGATGCAAGTATGTGACACTGAGCTGTAGGCCGGTCGTAGGCAGCTCTTACAGGACAGATCGAGTAGTGACAGTTACTGACTCTAGTTAGTAGGAACACTGTAGAGTCTCAAGAGGAAAGATTTCCTGAAAAGTAGCCAATCACGGGCAGTTTATTTTCTCAAAGGGACAAATGTTGACATGAGTGAAAATAAAAGATCAACAGGAGAGTAGGAGTGAATCTACAAGCACATAAAAAGCAAGAGAGCGCAGAGGAGGAGCACAAACCGCACAGAATACTCAAAATGCACGTCAAGAGTAGTTTACCTTTGTGCGTTTTCTAAATAAAACTCCTTAATGATGGATTACTTGGACCATTTTCTAGAATGGCAAAATATTTAAATAATCCTTCAAAGATCCGCGGATGACCTGTGTCCTGTTTACTCACCTCGGCCCCAGAGAGACTGACACTGTTGCTCCAGGGTTAGACACATCCCAGTGTAGCAGTAGGCCCGTCCATGTGCGCAGGATGTACCGTCCGCTAAGTAGAAATTGGCTGGACATGACTCCGATTTTCCGTCACAGAACTCTGGAAGATCACACAGCCCAGAAGTCGCTCGGCAAAGCTCTCCAGGGCTCTTTATCTTCCAGGTGAAACAGAGGAGATGCTTCACTTTTGGTAGAGGGGAAAACTACGTTTCTTTGCAGTCTTACTATCGTTTTGTCTAACCTGCTTACCTTGCAGTTATGGCAGCAGACTCCATGGGCACACTCAGCTCCAGCTTTCAGGGTGCAGTTGTTGGCATTGCAGCATGGAGACGTGCATTCCTGTTCACAAAGTTTAGAGAACAAAAAATATCAAAAAACCTACAAAACAGAAATATTTCTGCAAACAGATTCCAACTGACCTTTTCCTCTCCACAGTCACACTCCTCTCCTTTCTCTAGGTAACCATTTCCACAGCGCTGCCCTCCGTACAGCGAGTCAACATGGGGCAGGTTAAAGAGACACTTGCCTCCTCCAGAGTTCAGGTAACTGTTAAGTTCCTCTTGGTTGCAGTCATTAAACACACGGGGAAAGGGAGACCTGTGCCAGTGGTATAATCAGAAACAAACGCAAAAATTTAAGTCATAATTTTACCCTTTTTTTATAAGTCAAACAGCTTTAATTTCATGTTTGTTCAGCGTACCCAGTTGCAGCAGCCATGATGCAGCCACCATCTTCTGCTTTGGCCTTGCAGCAGCTCTCTCTGTCGTGATTCATTCCAAAGTTGTGACCCATCTCGTGTGCAATGGTGGCAGCGACCCCAACAGACACTGGTGAGTGGTCCTTTAGCATCCCCATGTGGTAAAACATCAAAAGTTAAAATATATAACCTCTGGCAAAGACTGCAGGAGGTTATGTGCAGCGAGGAAAAAGTTGATCTTCACAGATCGATTTTTTTCTTTCCTTTTACCATGTTTAAAAAACTTTGAAAAAAAAAAAAGCACCCCAGTGGAGGACTTTATACAAGCCTCCAATCAAAAATCGATCGGTTATAAA